TAGCTTTACAAATTTGACAGCTGTAGAACACTAGGTTGACATAAAAAAAAATCAAATCTCATGTTTCTCTTATATAGGTAAAAATGTTTCTTGTGGGCCACACAAGCAGCTGATCATATCTATTGATCAACAGTTGGGGCAGTGTAGAAGGAAGACTTGATACCCTGTACCTTTGGTGCCCTTGTCTATCCCTTGAGCTATGAGAATGCTACTTATTGAGAATATAAATAAAATATAGAATAAACCACACGCGCTTGTCATAAGAAAGCTCAGCAGTGGAGTGTGACTTGCAGAGCCAGGAACGGGGAGTCCCTCAGTCACCCAGATTGCTAGGAGTAAGGTATGTGCCCTCATGCAAAAATACCACAGGTGCTCCCAATGGATCGGGAGAGTGCCAGTGGGATCAATAAGATTGTCCCAAGAGACAAGTTGTGCATTCCAACTTGTAAGTCCAATGGGGTTTTCACAGGACAACAAGAGTCATGAGTCCTGCACTGGACTGGAAGAGTCTGGTCTAAAGGGAGAGAGAGCCCCTAGGATTAGGCCCCCGGGAATAAGTTACATGGTCATAGACTTGAGCTCAGAAAACAATATTCTAAAGCCAAACAGTAAGAATAACGTGGACCTTCTTGGGAGGTAGTGTGCTCATTGCTCCTGGGGGGCATTTAGATAGTTAATGGCAAAGGCATGGGTATACCACAGGGAAGTTAGGCATCCTGTGGCTGATGCAACCATCCATGAATCCTTTGTAAGTGACAGTCCCCTCTCTCTACATAAGGAAGGACTGACTTTCCCAAAACCATCAGGAATTACCTGCTGGTGGCAAGCCTTCGGGAACATCCACTTCTCTGTATGTAGTACTCCCTCTCACAGTGCCTGGCTGGCAGTCACGGGGAACCTTGGGGCTTAACTTTGTAGATAGCCCTTTCTCTGCAGGTACCCCACTAGTTCCTTGTCCTTGCACCCAATCGCATTTATGTAGCAAATTTAGAGTCTCAGCAATCCCTCCAGACTGGTGTTTTACTGCCTTTGTCTAGAATCAACACTTGTGCTAAGGGAAATGATTCTACCTGTGGTAATCCTACCTCAGGAGAAAATAAGAAAAAGAGGGGATTCTGAGAAAGAGGTATCTTTCCCCGACCCCAGTGTTTCACTGCACACAAAGGGGCAGAGGAAGAAGAAAGGAGAAGGGAAAGCGTTTGGGGCTAAGCCAAACAAGCTTAAGTGTTTCAAAGAATAAATTGGTGGAGTAATTCGGATCATGGGCAGGTGCTAGGAATGTAATTTAGTAAATGCTCGGGAACCTGCCAAAGAAGAGAAAAATGTGTTGCTTTTGAGATCATTTCCCAGCAGCTCCATAAAAGAAAACTGATTACAGGAATTTAATAAGTAAAACAGAGCCAGAAATAGTGTGATCAAATGAGTTTTTAATTACATTTCAAGCAGAAAAAAATTCCAATTTGTGCTCCTGGGATAGAAAAAAAATAAGTTCTAGAGAAAGGCTTTTGTAGCAGGAAAGAACATATCCACTAATTTCCATAGCAATGACAGTAGTCAGTTCATTAAAAGGCTTGATCAGAGTAAAGAGGAGCCTGCGCCAAGGCAGGCTAAACAAGACCATGGAGTCATTGCTGCTACACACTTTTGTCAGAAATAAATAAATAAACAGACAGACAGACACTGAACATTGAGCAGGATTTGGGTATCTGCATTTTTCTAGTGGAAATAAAAGGAATTTTTAATTTTCATTTTTAATCAGTGGGTTATTATGTTACTTTGGTTTATTCACATATGAAATAAATGGTACATCAGATTTTAAATGAGATGTGTCTAGTGAGTGTGACAAAGGTCACTGGAAAGAAGACACACTCTCACTCACACATGCACTCACTGACACACACTCACACTCACTCATCCACTGACACACTCACACTCACTGATGCACACGCACGTACACACTCACATATGCACTCACTGACACACTCACACTCACTGATGCACACGCACACACACTCACACATGCACTCACTGACACACTGATACACACACACACGTGCACACACACACACACACACACACACACACACACGGTGCGATGGAGATGGATGAGAATAAATATTACAAGGCATCTAAGTGCAGAGAAGGAGTCATGTCGACCAGCGAGAGTGTCACGGTCCATTCAGGTCCGTTTAGGGATCGGCCAGGTTTCCTGGCAGGGTGTCTCAGGTGTGCTTAGAGACGGACACTCCACCGTCCACAGGACGTGCTGGTCTTCCGATGAGGACTTGCTGTGGGCCACTCCTTAACCACGGGGCACACCTAGACGGTGCTTTCTGGAAGAGGTGCAGGAACTACTGTGGTTTTATGCTCAGTTCAACTTTTGTCCCCTTGTGATGCATGGGGCCAACCTGCAACCTCCATGGGACCAAGGTTTTAATCCCTGGCCTCAGAAGTGGGCTCACCTAGAAGATCATCTTTCTAAAGACGAGTACACCTGCAGTCCCAGGCTCATTCCTTTAGGGTTGTATAGGGGAAAGTTGCTGTGGCTACCGTAGTTGTCAATGTGACTGAAGAGAAAACCTCAACCGAACCCCACCCCCATCAGCTTGTCTGTGAGCCTGTCTGCAAATGGTGCCATCCCTGGGCGGGTGGGCATGGCCTATATAAGAAAAATAACTGAACAAGTCAAGGGGGGCAAGCCAGTTAGCAACACTCCCCCCCATGATCTCTAGTTCAGTTCCTGCCTTGGCTTCCCATAATAATGAACTGGAACCTATAAACTCGCTCAGCATTTGAGGCTAGCCTAGTCTATACTGTGAGTTTTAGACTGGCCAAGGCATGGTAAGACACTGTCTTTAAGAAAAGCAACAACAACAGCAAAAAGATGGACTGTCACCTTATTTCTTTTTTTTCTACTGCTGGAGCTTAAACACAGGGTTTTCCACAGACGAGACAGAGATTCTACCACTGAATGACTCCCTTTATTTGCTTTTCTCAAAAATAGGATTGTCTAGAATATAAAAGGACTCCAAGAGCCTTTGCTATGTGTGTTCTATATGAATGGTTTTACTCATATTTATTATTTGTAGTTATTCACATGGAGCTACTGCAATGGATGTTTTGCTAATTGTATTTTACTGGTTGAATATGTTGAAGTCTTTCATAATAAGCAGTAAGACTTACTCCAATGCATGGGAAAAGAAAGACAAAATATTAGGACGAAGTTTACAGCTCAGAGGTAGAGTACTTGTCCTGCACGAGGCCTTGGGTTTGATCCCTAACACCACAGGGAAATAAATAAATAAATAAGCCTTTAACATAGAGAAAAGGAACTCTAAACTTTTAATTTACAATTTAAGTTTTAAAAAATGTCCCAATGGAACAGAATCATGAGGTTTTCCCAGCTGGGCAGGGTGTTCTCCATGCCCCTCTGGCCTGTAAGATGTTTATCTACTGATATTTAGCCTGAGCCTTCTGAATCCATTCTTGTCCTAGTTCATAGGTGACGTCTTCGTCCCATCCCATAGTACTGCATCTCTGAGTAGACTGATTCAAAAGCTACAAAAGGCTCATGTGCATCCAGTTCAAATGAGACAGCATGCTATAGGATTCCCATTCCACTGCCAAGGGGCATCCAGGGCCAGAAGTCATTCACACCACTTGGAAGTAGGGACCTCTTCTCTTAAAGAGGGTAAATTAAATGCAGAAGGAAGCATTTAGAAGCACCAATGGCTCTTGGGCAATTAAGGACCCCGAAGCGTCAGTTTCACGAGCCTGGTGATCCTTCTGCCCTGTCTAATCATTGCTCACATTTCTACTCTTGCTTCCCCCACGCCTCTCCATTCCTCTCTTTCCCACCCCTTTCGCTCGTCACTACTGGAGTGAGAACAAATGTTTGTGTTAAAAGGGCAAAGTTAGGAACACTGAGAAAGTAAGTAAGAGGGCTTGCAGCCAAGCTGACCAGCTACGAGGAAGGCAGGACTCTGGGAGACACACAAAGTCATGTCCACAGGCTCCCATGAAGACATCCCCCTCCCCCACACATTCACACCCATAACAGCACTCGGGGCCCTGCTGCCCTTTGACATCATTCAGTTCTATGTACTCCATGTTAATCTGTATGTTCAGCACACTTTTGCTTTGGAAGATGAGCCTCTCTCATCTTGGGAAGTTACCTGGTCTTTCTTGCGTGGGAAAGTTCATCAGGCATCTGTGGCAGATGCTATTGTGATGTGGGATTCCCCTCTCTATGCTGTGAATACCGTTGGTTAATGAATAAAGCTGCTTTGCTTTGGGCCTATTTCAGTGCAGAATAGGGCACAGTGGGAATTCTAAGCAGATAGAGGAGGAGGGAGTAGGTGGAGTCAGAGAGAAGCCATGTAGCAGCCGCAGGAGACAAACGCCAGACAGAACCTTACTGGTAGGCCCAACCACATGGTGATACACAGATTAATAGAAATGGGTTAATTTAAGATGTAAGAACTAGCTAGCAATATGCATAAGCTAATAGGCCAAACAGTATTGCAATTAATACAATTTCTGTGTGATTATTCCGGGTCTGGGCGGCTGGGAAATGAATGAGCAGCCTCTGCCAACACTATTGCAAGGTTATTTTTGAAAATTTTGAGTTCACAGTCTACTGATAGATAAAACTCTCTCTGGCAGGCAAAGATACAGTTATTGATAGATAATAGTGGCATGCATTTTTGTCTTCTGGGTTTTTTTTTTTTTGATGCACTTGTAAACTCAGACAGTCTACAAGGCTGCCTGTCCCTTGAATAACTCACAGCCATCTTGTTTTGTCAGTTCTCAGCACAGGCTCTATGACTAGAACACAAGAGTGGTGGATGCATACCTACTTCTCAGAAATAATTTGTGTTTACCTGCTAGCAATTTCCTTTCCTATACCCGGTTTCCAATCCCCTTATAAACACCGGAGAAAGAGTATACAAACCTGTAACCAGGTTCCTCACTCTCCACCTTTTTCTCGTTTGCTTTAGGCCTTGGTGAAGGTCAACACCAAACTGAAGCCGATGCTGGATTCAGTGGCTGCCAACCGAAGGAAGTGGGAAGAGTTACATCAGAAAAGACTGCAGGTCTCTGCTGCCTCCCCAGTTCCTGCGACTCTCACGGTGGCGACGGGCGAGGATAGGATGTAAAGCACCCAGAGCCTCTGTGCGACCCTGTGGCCTGGAGGGTCCTCTGCAGCCTGAAGAAGCCGCTGCAGCAGCCGCATGGACCTTTTCTTTCCGCTCAGCAGTCCGAAAGTGCAGACTGTATAGACCGGACCGGGAAGCGCACCCGGAAGTGTGCTTGGCGGCAGAGGACTTGAAGGATGAAGGACAGAGTCCGGCAGAGAGCGCGACCCTCAGCTTTCCATGATGAACCCACATTGCTGGATTTGGATCCATGACCTCGAGGGCTATCAGCCCCACTCGTTCGGAGTTGAGGGGACACCGTGGTAAAGTGTCGCTAACACTGCTTCACTTACGGCACTTTCCTGTTACAAGCACGTCCTTTCTTGGCAGGCCTTTGTGTCCCAAAAATCCAGATTTGCATTTTAGGTGTCATATTTCTATTCCGACTGTTTCTTAGTGAGACACTAAACCGTTGGTCTTTGCCTGTTGGATGAGCCTCCTCTTATGAGTACCAACTAACCCCAATCTTTTCAAAGGGTCCACAGTAGGAATGCAGTGAGTTTGCTACTTGGAGGGTTCCAGGATCTATAACCCTGGCAGTGAGATCACAGATCACTTTTTCAGTGTTTGGATTCAGCCTTCATTGTAGACCAGACCTTTTCCTGAGAGGAATAGATTAATAATTTTATTCAAGCGAATGGAAAGGGGAATCTACAGTCACGTGTACCACAGGTGGCGTGTAAACACTAGAACTACTTCCAACAGAGAGAGAGAGAGGGAGAGAGAGAGAGAAAGAGAAAGAATTTAAGGTACCTCAATTTTACATTTTTCCTTAAGTGAAGAAAAAAGAATATTCTAGAAAGGCCAGGAAATAACGTCTACACAACCTTTATCCTCTAGGAAGTCAGGCCTCTAACAGGTGAAAAAACTGTTTTAAATGGATGTGGTGTCTACTAAGCTGCTTTGATGCCCGTTTCACCCAAGACACTTGTGGGCAGGGTCCGTCTTCACCGAAAAACACTGGCCTTGCTGTCCTTAATTTTGCATTCTCAGCTGGGTGACTTTGGACAGGTTACTACATTTCTCTGCTGCCCAAACTGTCAACTGAAATTATCCTAGTAGGTTACTTGCAGACATCTTAACCTTAAAATCCTTTGTGCAAGAAACTTTCAAGGACTCCCCAGAACACAAGATAGAAGAAAGCTGAGATCTTCTGTTTGAAGCAGGTCGTGAGGGTCCAGAGCCCACAGGTCGTGAGGGTCCAGAGCACACAGGTTATGAGGGCCCAGAGCCCACAGGTCGTGAGGGTCCAGAGCCCACAGGTCGTGAGGGTCCAGAGCCCACAGGTCCTGGGGGTCCAGAGCACACAGGTCCAGGGGGGTCCAGAGCCCACAGGTCTTAGGGGTCCAGAGCCCACAGGTCGTGAGGGTCCAGAGCCCACAGGTCCTGGGGGTCCAGAGCACACAGGTCTTGGGGATCCAGAGCTCACAGGTCTTAGGGGTCCAGAGCCCACAGGTCTTAGGGGTCCAGAGCCCACAGGTCTTGAGGGTCTAGAGTCCACACAAATCATCATCTCTTTGTTCACATAATGGTGCTCCAGAGAGAGGCTCTGAGCACTCTGAAAATCCCTGCCAATGTGAAACCCGAGAGCCAGCCCAGCTCTAAACAATTGAACATTTACAAAACAACATTTTTTTTCCTACTTTTATTGACCAGTATCAGTTATTATCAGAAAATAGTGGTCAGATGTTTGAAGATGGGGGTGGGGGTAAAATAAGATACCAAACCCGGAGTGGGATGATCTGGCAATCACCATGGGGAAGGCAGCTTTGTTATGGCAAGAAACACAATAAAATAAACCGGGCAAAGGGTGGGGCTGGAAGTAGGAGCTAAGGTAGATGGTTAAGACAATGGCTAGGGGGGGTAAAAGTCAATCTGAACAAAGGAAAAAGCCAATTACAGTCCCCCCACCCACCCAAATGAGGGTACAGAATCATGTCATCAATTGAGCAGGAAAGAGAGACAATTACACAGGGAGAATCTTGACAAAGGAGAGAAGGAAGGGCTGGGCGCACTAGGAAACAAGGTTGCTAGCTGCCCTTCACAGCTGTGTCTGCAGGGAAGGCTGGAGAGACTGGGGGGAGGGACGAGCGCAGGGGAAAAAAACTGCATCCGCAGAGCAGGTAAGAGGAGGCTGTGCAGATTTATGGATTTTATTAAGCCAGTTTTCTGAATCACTCTGCTATAAAGGCAAATAGCTTCTGCAGAGCTGTCTCCCTCCTTCAGGTGAGGAACAAAGGGTGGGTGGAGTTAGGCAGAGACCCTGGTCTGCAGGATCGTCTGCAGGTGCTTCTGGGTACCGCACCACACCAGCCCGTCAGGTTTCTGTCGCACACGGGAATGGAGAAGCAGTCCACGTGAGGATGTAGTGAGCCCACATCTGTTACCCGTCCGAACAATAAATAACCAGTAAAGCGGATGCCAGTCCACCTAAAGCAGACATTTTCAAGCATGTGCTTTACAATAAAACTGGACCCAGTGTCTTCCAGAGGCTGCTGGCAGTGGCGAGACAGCAGCCTCCCTCCTCCCTGAATGTTGATGCTACATATTGCTGAGGGGGACATAATTTATAGCACAAACCCTACGGCTTCCTCTAAGGTTGAGTTTTCCTCTCATCTTCTCGCCTTTTTTATTGGCTTCACTGCACGGTTGCCAATAGCAACATCCATCGGTAGCAAAGGGAGTTCAACACCATCGCAATCTGCCAGACAGCGGAGCCCTGACAATGTCAACCATCAATCAAACAGCTGCTTGTAATTGCCTCCATCTATTTCTCCTGTCTCAAGGTGTCTGTCCTACTGTGGGTCAAGATTCGGAAACTGCTGACTAATGCCCGGGCTCTCTCCCTCCATCACTGTGGAGAACTGGGAGAGATGGTGGTAGCCCTCCTGATGCCAAACCCTAGAGGTCACAGGTTGGGATTTTTAAAGCCCTTGTAAAACAATTTCTTTCCCATGACCGTGAGTTATGTGTGATCCTAGACTCTGTTTCCAGCACACAGAATGAGGAAACTTCTCAATCCTTATTTTTCACTGTTGTTTCCTGTTGGAGAAAGGCATTTGAAATGTGAGCCCTCTTCCAAAGGAAAAAAAACTCAAACAGACAAGATTGTCTGCTTTGTCTGCTTCCTCAGGTCTCTCCGCAGGAACAGCTGAGATGACTTCGTCCTCCTTTTGTATGAGATGTATTTTTTCAGAAACTATTTATTCATGTTAGTGAGCATGTAGCTACTATGTGCACAGCCCACAACACAGCTGGTGATACCGGTGGACGAGAGCAGCTTGGCAAACCGCCAAGGGGACCTACCAGTACACAGCAGAACGGGGCTCCTCCTCGCTGGCTGCCAATGGGCCTACTCTCTTGGGGCTCTGTGGCGTTTCAGGTTTCTATCTGGTACATAAAAGCCCCAGCTTTTATTCAGTTTCTGCATCCAGGGACCAAGCTATGCTATGCTTTGCTTTTGAAACTTCATCCAAGTCATTTTCTTCTTTCTGCTTCTCAAATAAAATAGAAGCAAACCCGAGAGAGTCGTCGTCTCACCGAAGACAGGGTAAACATTTACATAGAGAGGGAGCAGACCCAAAACAACCTTCCTACAAAGTGTCTGAGACAGCTTCTAATGAGTGTGAATGATACAGTAACCAACACCTGCTCGTAAGTGTGTATTCTCCTGTTTCATAAAGGACAGCTTTGGATTGTCTCATATCATTGAATCCCATATGGGAATCATTAGTTTAGAAGTGAACTTGTAAAGGGAGCCAAGAAAGGCAAAAATTGTACATGAGTTTTCTGTTTCTTGAAACCCGAAGGCCTGCATGCTTCCAGGTACTCCAGGTTTGCAAATATCTTGTTTTTTAAGATGATCTCAGCACTGTTTTTTATTAGTGCAGTAATGACAGTATGTTTCTGGAATTCAGTTGCTTTTTCTGTATATCAAAATTTAGCATACTTCAATGGCTTACATCGCTAGAGTGATTTTACTCAGTTTACTTTGCAGCACAATCTTTTTAAAACTCATTTCTCTTACTGACCCTTGTGAGTTACAAAAAGACCAAAACAAATTACAATCTAACCTCACAAGTGAAGCAGAAATCTAAACATGTTTGGATGAAATTCAAACATAAAGAGAAATGTGTTTTGGTGGGGGAAATGACAAAAAGATTCATTAAAGCTACTGAATGTAACCTAATTTGGGGCCCTAAAAACGTTGCCACACCTCCTTTAGTGAATTTCTAATGTTTCATAGTAACAATCTGGAATTCTTATTCTACCATGTAGTGTCAAGAGCTCCTAAGCCCCAAATTACTAAGAATTTAAAGGTTAAGTCCGGCTGCTAGAAGGCCAAATTGTCACACAGGTCCTAAGTCAACGTTTCTCAACCTGTGGGTCACAACCCCACAGGAGATCAAATATCAGATAGTGCAGCCAGCCTGACATCAGATATTTACATTACGACTCTTACCGGTAGCAAAATTACAGTTACAAAGTAGCAACGAAAATAATTTTATGGCTGGGGGGGTCACCACAACATGAGGAGCTGTATTAGAGGGTTGCAGTGTTAGGAAGGTTGAGAACCCTCGTCCTAGGTGAACAGTGATAGAACATGACTGGCAGAATCAAGCAAGACGTGACTGGAGAATTCCATGCAGGGCCTCGGATTCAGCGGTGCCCAGTGCTGTGCCACCCGTTCTCCCCAGCGAATAAGTTAGGTTGTACATGCTTTGATTTCGAATGCCCTCGCATGTCTGTGCATCTCTCAGCATCACTAAAGGCCAATGGCCATCTGTGTATCCACCTGTACCAACCAACGTAACTGAATGTAGGCACCAGTGCAAAGCTGTTTTATGAAGTAAATGAACTATTTGCTGTGAAAAAAAAAAGTATCTTCTTTGAGGCCATCATCTGTCCATGTTCATTTCTGTGTATGTGTGTGTTAGAGTGTTCATTTTTCTTCTGCTTTAATGTAGATTTATAGCACAACGTATTCAGAGCAACTTTAAAGCATAGCGCAGTGTGGAGATAGACGTCTAGTTTACTGAGTCCCATTCCCTTGGAGGGCTGTTGCTTTTGCCATTTTATTCTGATTTACAATAATCTAAAAAGAGTTCCTTACTGACTTGTTTCTTAACTATTGTTGTTTTACCCAAAAGAAGGGAAGTACGTTGTCGGCTGGCTTGTGTGAAGCCCCTCTCTTTGTGAAGTTTCCAGGTTAATATTGTATTGTAAGAACATTTGGTAAAATGCTGCTTGGCCATTGCAGAAGCAACAACCCATGGCTTCGAAACAGACTGCTTTAAGAAAACGGAAACTTCTTGTTTTTAATAAAATGCTTAATGTTTAACTAATGTTCTGGAATAATCTTTATGTCGCCGGCTGGAAAAAGGACACGTGCATCCTAATACCTACTACAGTTTAGTTCATTAACTTTGTTCAGCGCTGTCTGCTTGTGTGAGAGCGATACCGGGACCTCGTTTTTAAAGTAAAAGATTTTTTCGAATTATTGAAGGTTTTCTGGAGGTAAGAGAATTCTGCAGCCAAAAGCTGGGTCCCTGCATCCAGTATGTGTTGCTTAAATTTGCATGGGCACTTAGACAAGGTGTGTGTGTGTGTGTGTGTGTGTGTGTGTGTGTGTGTGTGTGTTGGGGCAGTCTTACACCATCGTGCCTGTTCTATTAGAACGAACTGCAACAATCCAAAGCCAATTCAAATGGTTGGAGAGGAGGCACCCAAGGAGAGAGGAAAGAGGCGCAGTGTGGCCCTCTACTGGACAGTGTAAGCAATCACCAGCGCTGCTTGCTGCAGCCACCCGTCTCTTTGTGTATTGCAACCTGCAATTCTACAGTGAGTTGGAAATAAGAACCTCTGACCCGCAGAAGGTCTGTGGGGATTAATGTCGGAAGTTAGACAGGCTGGGCGAAAGCGCTGGGGTTGGAGTAGCTTTTAGAAAGTCTGGCCGGATGTTTTACAAATTAGTATCCGCAGTTTTGCCTTCTCCGCTAATAACATCTGTAAATCACACTACTGCACAGTTGAGATAGGGTAATTCACGTTAATTTAGTGCACTGCAAACCTTGAAATATAAGCTACTTGATCAAAACTAAAGTCCATTTAAGAAAGAGGTCTTGTTTAGACATTGTAGAAGGTTCCTCGGAAAGGCGAGCCCTAATTAGATGAAATGGCTCTCCAACCAAGCATGAGGATCCCTTGTTGACTGGTATACAGATGGCCCCAAAGCTTCCCACCCTGAACTCGGGCTCCTAAGAGTCAGTCAACGACGTTACAAGGCTGGCACCGGCTTAGTCATTGCTTCCCTGTTCACGGTGGTGACGGAGTTGAGAAGACTAGAATGCTATGGGACTGGGCGCCCAAACTGGCCACCCTGACGTAAATGGTCAGGAACCATCGGGAAAGAAAATAGTAACTCTGCAAAGGGCGTCTTTTGCCAAGGAAAATTCTTGCACATGATTATGCGTGCAACAGTTATGGAGTAACGATTTACCACCCGCAAATGAACACGTGCGTGGGGTAAGAAAAGATACTTCCCAGCTAATTGTAAAAGAGAATGCTCAACACATCAGACATTTGATCGCTTTGTGTTTGGGCCGGAAGAACTGAAGTGTGCTAAGAACCAACATGTTTTTAGCAGCTCTGACATGTTTTGCCTAAATTGAACTCTTCCTGGTAATCATGCGTGCCTTGATCTGTCAATCATTAACCCCCTTCTGCATGTCACTAGCACTTTATAAACACCCCATGGGTCCTGTTTGCCAAGGACGGTGTTGCAGATTTGCCTTTGCTATGCACCCCAGCTTTTCAAGACCCTATTGGAAACAAAAAATGATCTTTTTCTTTATTCTTACCCACTGTGCAGAGTGAAAAAAAAAAGATCTTTTATACTTCATAATAATCTACCAGCTTGCTTTCCATCATTCACTAAAGTACTCCTTTCATCTCCCCTACCCATTAAAAAAAAAACAAAGAAACTGTTCCCCAGCTGCCTATCAGGGACCAAACCAAAGTCAGCTCTCACAGCAGTGGCTGCGGCCATGCCAGTCTCGCAGTAGGATGGGTGTGCTCAATGCGTTTTAAAAATGGCCCTGCCCTCCATCTGTCTGAGCCAAATGCCCTGCTCCTTTCGAGCCAGGCCAGTGGAGCAGCTTCCCATGAAATAAGGAGGAGGACACAGAATGGCCACCCTCCCGTGCCCTTCAGCTGCCCTGCTCACAGACAGGCACCAACACAGAGAGGAGAAACCCAGATGCTCCCTGTAGCTAGCCAAGAAATTTGGGGAAAAGCCGACAGTCCTTTCATTTTTGTGTCGGGGGGCGGGAGGAGGATTTCAAAAGACATTTGAAGGTGGATGGTTTCACAACGTTAAGCACAGCTCTGCAGACAGAGAGGAACTAAAGGGATAAAGGGCGTGTCTTATTTCCATGTTTACTCAATTTAGTACCAGCTTGTTAAAGATAACAGTCTTTGCATAAAGATTCTCAAATATTGAGTGTGAGTTCCCAAGGAATAAATGTCGGGCAAGCCACTAGTCTTAAAGAAGAAGATACACTGTATTCCTTAAGATTTGAACATCAGAGGTCACCTTCCTCCAGCACAGACTTCAGCTCAGAGAATACACCAGAAATCAGGGTGAAAGAAAGCTTGAGGTAGGGATAGAGAAGGGCTCCTTAGCTGCTTTCTGTGAAGATCTTTTGTGGGCTGAACCCTCTCCACAGCACAGAAAATGGGCGCATTTGTCCCTTCCTGCTCACTGGGCGCATTAAATGTTCCTTGTTTGATGGTACCCAAGAAGTCACACGGCTGCTGATTCCCAACAAGAGTGAAGTCAGGCATTCCAATGTGAGTGATTGGACCCTATTTCACGTCTTTTCCGTGTGATACTGGGCAACCAAGAAATATGCAGCCTGCACTGATCACTGCACATCTGAGCCGCAGTTGAGGCATGCAAGTCCACAGTCTACTGCCCACACCTATTTAGTTGGTTGTTTCTATTTGCAAAATGCAGTCTTTCCTCTTGTATACTTGGTTGCCCACACTTGACAGTCCTTTACCGTTACTGGAGACATGGGTATTGAAGGATCTGCCACTCACGGTTTCCCATAGAACCTAGTTCTTTGTGATCATAGTTCAACCCTCTGTGGAGGCTTGAATAAGAACGCCCCTCATAGACTCATATGTTTGAATACTTAGTCCCCATTGGTGGAACTGTTTGGGAAGGTGTGGCTTTCCTGGAAGAGGTATGTCACTGGAGATGAGCTTGGAGATTTCAAAAGACCCCCACCATTCTGGTGTCACACTCTCTCTGTCTCCATTCTGGAGATCAAGATGTGAGCTCAGTGGGGGTGACGGAGAGGGTCTTCTGCTCAGAGCTCTGGATCAGGAACTCGAGTGTGTTTTTTTTTTCTTTCTTTCTTTCTTTCTTTTTTTTTTTTTTTTTTTTGAGGCAGGGTTCTCTGTAGCTTTGGAGCCTGTTATTCTGGAACTAGCTCTTGTAGACCAGGCCAGCCTCGAACTCACAGAGATCCGCCTGCCTCTGCCTCCCAGGTGCTGGGATTAAAGGCAAGTGCCAGCACCACCCGGCCTAAGTATGATTGTTACTAAAGGTTTGCTGTAGTCATTTCCGGGAGATACTTGCAAAGGCTTGATTTGATACTCTTATCTATCTGCTCCGAGGAACTTGTTACATTATCTGGAACAGTTCCTCAGCAAGAGTTCTGCACTGCCTGGGACTCTCATTGGGAATTCCAGCTAAGCTCCTCCATGGACTTCCCTATTGGATTTCACCTGAATATTTGTAATTTGATTATATTGAATTATCTATCTGATGTTTCTATCTGCTACTTCATATTTATTGCTTTACTTTTGCTTGCTATGTTCTCAATAAACAGACTTTCAAAACCAAAACTGCCATTCTAGATCAACTTCTAGTTTTTACAGAATACATGGTCATTAAACCAGCACAAAAACATAATTCTAGAAGATTTCAAAGTTTTTAAGGCAAAAAGATCATTGTCTCAAAATAGTGTATAAGTCTCAAAAAGCTTCATTTATACCAGACCCTGAGGCAGGGAACTGCCAGGCCACAGAGAAGAAACATCCAGCCAGCAAGCAACACACCATTTTAACGAGTAGGGAGAGTCTAAAACTCTCATTACAGAAATAAATTACTTTGGATGATCTTTTTCTATCTGAATACAAAAATAAACAAAAACACATATAAAGGAAACAGATCCTGTCAAAAGTATACAGGGTTAAACCGACATGAAATGAAACTACAATTCCCAGAATGCAAAGCGCCGCTGACCCATGGGAAGTGAAAATGGCGCATGTCTGGAGGAAACAAATTTATATGCCTGGATTGCTTGAAGTAGCTTTCTATCCCTTCTCTCACTTTTTTCTCTATCCAGTTTATAGTCTTCTAGCACATAAAAATTCAGGGATTATAATTATAGTTCGTCTTCGCATCTATCACATGCTTTCTACCTCATTACAACGCCCGCATAGACTTCCACTTCCGGTTACCAAGTTGCCTTGGAAACTAGCACGCGCTACTTTTGGCGGCTATGGCCTGGCAAAGCAACTCTAAAATTCCCGACGGTGAGTTCACGGCCGTGGTCTACCGGCTCATCCGCGACTCCCGCTACTCAGAGGCGGTGCAGCTGCTGGCCGCCGAGCTGCAGAGGAGCCCCCGCAGCCGCGCCGGGCTGTCGCTGCTCGCCTACTGCTACTACCGCCTGCAGGAGTTCGAGCTCGCTGCAGAGTGCTATGAGCAGCTGAGCCAGATGCACCCGGAACTCGAGCAGTACCGCCTGTACCAGGCCCAGGCGCTCTACAAGGCCTGCCTGTATCCCGAGGCCACGCGGGTCGCCTTCCTTCTGGACAATCCCGCCTATCAGACTCGCGTCCTTCGTCTCCAGGCTGCCATCAAGTACAGCGAGGGCGACCTGCCAGGAGCCAGGAGCCTGGTGGAGCAGCTGCTGAGTGGGGAAGCTGGAGAAGACAGTGGAGGGGAGAATGACCCAGATGGTTTGGTCAACATGGGCTGTCTGCTCTACAAAGAGGGACACTACGAAGCTGCCTGTTCCAAGTTCTTTGCGGCCCTGCAGGCTTCTGGCTACCAGCCTGATGTATCTTACAACCTGGCTTTAGCTTGTTACAGCAACAGGCACTATGCCCCTGCTCTGAAGCATATCGCCAACATCATTGAGCGAGGCATCCGTCAGCACCCAGAGCTAGGTGTGGGCATGACCACCGAAGGCATTGATGTCCGAAGTGTTGGCAACACCGTA